ATATATATGTGTGTGTGTGTGTGTGTGTGTGTGTGTATGTATATGTATATGCCTATAGAGTCAAACTTGTAGGTTTGTGTCATGCTTGTCAGGCTTGTGTCCCTAAACACCCTTAGGTCCTTAGGTGTGGGTTCATCCACTGGACCCTGATCAGCCTACTAAGTGTCTCACCCTTGGAAGAGGTGATCTTCCTAAATCAAGAGACTTTAGATAGACTGACTAGACCTCACTGGATAGACTTGCACAGGGAACTGGGTACACTGACTTGACACATTGGGCCTTAATACGGGTAACAGAGTATATGGATTCCAATGGGGAGGGGTGCTGTGGAGTTGGGGGGTATAAAGATAATTAAGATTCTTTGAGATATTTTATATAAAATACACAAAAATTCAATAAAAACAAATTAAAAAAAATAAATAGGTTACACTCAAAACTTAACAACGAAACTTTCTTAAATGATTTTGAAGTTCACTATGTGCAATTTGATAATTTGGTTCTACACATTAAAGCATACAAAAATGTCAATGAACATAGGCCTTTATACGTGCATTAATATACAGTAAAATATAAATAAAGATACATCTGTATATAAAACTATATATGTATGTATGTGTATATATTGATTAAAATGGAATACAAATTTGATATAATTTCCATTCTTTAAAACCTGTGTATATGTAGGGGAAAGATTTAACTCCAGAATATTCTGGTATCATTTGCAGACAATTACTACGGTACCCCGAAGCCTCCAGCTGAACCAGCACCATTATTATTAAATGTAACAGATCAGATACTTCCGGGAGCCACTCCAAGTGCTGAAGGGAAACGGAAGAGAAATAAATCAGTGAGCAACATGGAGAAAGCAAGTATAGAGCCTCCTGAGGAGGAGGAGGAAGAAAGGCCTGTGGTCAATGGAAATGGAACAGCGGTAACTCCAGGTCAGTCTTTCTTCCATATTCTTTACAAGATCATCAGTTTGTTGTTCTGTTTTTTTATTATTATTTTATCTAGTGTGTGCACTTCTATTCAATATATTTTTTATGTATGTGTATGCATGTTGTATGTAGAGGGTGGACTTGCCCATGTGTGCCCATGTATAGACTGTAGGTCAATGTCAGGTGACTTCCTCTACTACACTCCACTTTATTTTTGAGTCAGCTTTCTCATTGACTCTAGAACTTGCTGTTTTGGCTAGACCGGCTCCAGCGAGAGCCACCAGGTTCTCTTTTCTCTGTTGTCCCCAGTGTTTTGATTACAGATGCATGTCAGCATGCCCAGCTTTGATGTGGACGCTGGGGATCCAAACTCAGTTCTCCATGCATGTATAACAACCACCTGCTCGCTTAGCCACTTACCCACTTAAACCCATTTCCTTATCCTCCGGTTTGTTGTTCTAGATCTAAGTATATGTGTGTGTGTGTGTGTGTGTGTGTGTGTGTGTGTGTGTGTGTCTGTATGTGTGTGTGTGTCTGTATGTGTGTGTGTGTATGTGTGTGTGTGCATGCACACTCACATGACTGTGTGCTTGTGTGTATTACAATTATCTTAAGAGAGAGAAGATTATGATATCAAATAGAAAAGATGTGATTCTTTGATATTGTTGTTTTCTTGAGGTGCAAGGGATGGAATCCAAGTCTTGTGCATACTAGGCAAGTACTCTACACTGACACATACATCCCTAGCCCTTAGTTTGTGATTCTTCTGTTCAAATCATTAGTTTTAATTTTGGCCTACTCATTAAAAATCACAAATTTACGCTGGGCGTGGTAGCACACACCTTTAATCCCAGCACTTGGGAGGCAGAGGCAGGTGGATCTCTGTGAGTTCAAGGCCAGCTGGGGCTACAGGGAGACCCTGTCTCAAAAAAGACAAAAAAAAAATCACAAATTTACAAAGAGAAAATAGTTCATTTTGGTAAACTGATAAGGAGTCAAAATTATATTTGTTTGTTGTTTATATACATATGAAATATAATTTTTAAAATTGGAAATATTTTCTACTCACAAGTATGTGTGGAGCTGTTCTTTACTAATCCCCTGGGTCCTTCTTAATCCAGTCAAGCTGATAATCAAAATTAACCATTGTAACATGTACCTTTAAATATTTCAAGTAGTAAGCTTTATGTTTTAGTCAATTGCAACTAACAAGAAATGTCAAATATGTACTGTTATGGGCATGCTTTGATTTTTTAATTCTCATTTTACATTATTCAGTGTCTTTAACAACACTGTTTCCTATTTTGATCCTATATTTTCTGTTGTTGTTTGTTTGATATATTTGTTCAGGGTTTTAGGAACAAGGTTTTACTACATAGCCCAGGCTGGTCTGGAACTCGGATCCCAGGCTGACCTCAAACTCACAAGCCTCTTATGTCACCTGCCTAGTGCTAAGATTACCGGCCTGGGCCTCCACACCTTGCTTGATCTTACAATCTTTTGAAAGCAGTGTAACTAAGGAAAAGTATGCAATCGTATATTTTAAAAATATATTTTTAGAGACAATTATCATATAATCACTCTAACTTTGAAAATAGCAAAACAGATAAATGGTTAATAGATAGATGCAATTCTTTTCAAAGATTAGATTCCTCTGGAAAGGGAAATCCTGTAAACCTTAGTAATTGGCTTTCTTGGACTTCTTTTATTACATGAGTTATCTGCTAAAGTTTTCCGGAAAGTAATTCACTATTATCTTGTAGCTTCCTCTCATCAGCTATTAGTAAGTCTAGTGCAAAGAATTAGAAATGCACATATATTTTAAAGGCAGTTAAGTCTCTCTGTTAATACACACACATACAATGCTGGTAGGAACAGGGCCCGTGAGAGCTACCTTCGCCAACAAAGGGATACAGTATGTGGACACAGAGCTGCCTTCTCCAAACTCCCAAACCGGCAATTAGTGCAAATGAACTGCATCTCCCAGAGAGCAAACAGAGTGCCCCTTATGTGATCCCTGAGTGTCCTGGGCAATGATCTCAGTTCACCATTGGGGGCCCGCATCCCAGTGCTGTGCTGCTTGGCACGCTGGCTGTGCATGCACCATCAGTCCTGGTTCTGTGAATGAGACCCTTTCGCTCGGAAGAATTATGTCCTCCGTAGTGAATCTCGCTGTTTTCCCGTGAATAATGCCCCACTCTGAAACCACCCCAGTGCCAGTTCTCTGCTTATTTTTATGTGAATTCGCAGAGGCTGTAATTTGTGTATCCACTCAGATCTTTCTATTTTTTTCCCCCTGAGGTGACTTAATTTTATGGTTTTGTTCCCAAATGCTGCATTTGGTTTTCCTTTCCCATTGTCAGAAAAATGAGTAAAACTCTAAGGCTGTTTTAAACTAGCCCTCTAAAATCTTACATTCCATTTATAAAGGGCATTCCATCTTTTCTTAAAAGGATTAAGTGAAAGTTAAAATTGCCCTGATGTAAAGTACTCTGAGTGTCCAAATGTGATTACAAAGTAACAAGAAGATCACTTTAGATTTTCTGGTCATGAAACATAGGAATATTGTGACTACACTGTAACCACATGAAATCACATTCAGGTATCGTTGTTTTAAATCAAATCAGATTTGTTTTCAAGCCATCTCCAAGCAATGCCTTTATAAGAGCCCCTTCCGGCCCGTTCTTCAGAAGTTTCTTTGCAGTGTTTTTCCATTTCTCAGAGGGCTGATGTAATGTGTGTGCAAGAAAGAAAGTTAATACGAGAATGGAGAATACAGGTCAAGAGCCAGCAGAGGAACTCCAGGTTTGTTGAGAGTTTAAACTGCTCTCAAATCACAGTCATCAGACTACATATTCAGACTGATGGTCACCTGGCTGTCTGGGTTTCTTATATCTTATTTCTCCTCAGAGAAGTGATTATGACTCAAGGTGAAATTCTACCTGCTCTGTCATCAGCAGTGGCTCTAGTTCATCACAGCTGAGTGCTGACTTTGCTCTCAGAAGAGAGAGGTCTCTGGATAGGATTTGCCTAAGCCCTGGCCCATTGGTTAGAAGCAGCACCTTGCCTTTCTCCTATCATTTCAACTTGTCCTCCACAAAAAAATACCTTAAAGAGCAGCGTCAATTATCAAAGCTGAGTGAATCAAAGATCCTCCTTTTGTCTTCCAGCCCTTTGAAATTTCAAAAGGTGGCATTAGGTTTCAAATAACACTATTCTGATTTTTTTCCCCAGAATTTTGAAAGCAAGCTCTAAGATGTGTTGTATGTGCAAATCTTAAGCATCATTTCCTATCTTTCTACAGCTCTGGGATATTTTCGAAATGTGTATTAACATCTATCACCCCAGAGCTTGTTGAGGATTGCAGAAACTTGTTACTATATGATAAATGCCTTTAGAATTCATTGCATTATGGAAATCACAATGCACGCACAACTCAGAGCCATGAAGACCATTATTGCCATTATTCAGTCTACTTTTATTAAAGTGTTAAAGATGAAATATTGTAGAAAGAAAAAATTTATCAATTAAGGCAGCTCTCTTCTCTGTTAATGGAATATAATTTCTACTAATTTTCTCTTTTCCATTTAGTTTTATATGTTCCAGGAAATATTTTTCTTTGTCATCTTCTACTTATAAACCTTGAGTTTTCTATTTTCATAATTTTCTATGTTATTCTGGTACTCCACACAATATAAGCAATTGTGGGCTTTAGACACAGATGAAGTACAATTTTAAAGCATTAAAACTACTTTCTGAGTAGTTCACATTTCCCTGTCTAGCCTTCTGAGTAGATGGGATACAATTTGCTTATAAATGATAATAAATCATTTCTCTACAGCATTAGAGATTTATGTTTCCTTATTGATATATCATTTAAAAATCAGAAGCTAAACCATTACAGTAACTTCCTTTAGTTACATCATGTTATAACTTATATTTCCTTCATGGCCTTAAACAGTAAAGGGAAATATTTGTCAGTGTCTCAGAAGTATCTCTCTATCTATCATCTATCTATCTATCTATCATCTATTCATCTATCATCTATCTACATGCACACACACACATACACACACATACACACTACAGTGGCTAAGACACTGCTCAGTTATCTCTCATATCTTTAAAAAAATATTTTGCTTATTATTTTTATTTATGTGTATCAGTGTATTGCCTGCATGTATGTGAGAGCACCTGTGTCATGCAATGCCTCCAGACGTCAGAAGGAGATGATGTATCCCCTGAAACTGAGTTGCGCACAGTTGTTAGCCACCATGTGGGAGCCGGGAATCAAATGCGGGTCCTCTGTAAAAGCAGCCAGTGCTCTTAACTAATCTGAGCCATCTCTCCAGTTATCTTATATCTTGCAGAATGTATAATACTTTTTTTAGGAATCAGAAATTCTGAATTCTTAAACATCCAAACTCACCAACCAACTATTATCCATGAATATGCGCAGGAAAATTCCTGAGTGATCAAGAATAACAGCATCTTTGCTAGCCGAATTCCTGGAGTACTGAGCGTGGTAGTGTGCTCAAACCTGCAGTATGCTATCTTTTCTCTTTGTAGCTTAGGCTTTTGTACCACATGCATGTTTTATCAAATCAAAAAGGCAGTTGTGTTTTGTTGTTGTTGTTTCTGTTTGTTTGTGAAAATATATATTCACAGTACATAAACATCAGCACTCACAATTTCTTCTTCTTTTAGAGTGTTTAGAAAAAGTGAGGAAAACTGAGCAATAATGTCTAATCGTGAGTTCTTTCAGTCAACTCGTTATATAAAAAGCAGGTGGGTGCTATATAACTACTTCCTATCTGAGCAGTGCCCTCCACATTTCACTGCATTTCACTATATACGACCACAATAGAAGATCATTTGTAGGGGCTAGAGAGATGGTTCAGTGGTTAAGAACACGGGCTACTCTTGCGGAAGACCTGGGGTTTGTTCCCAGTATCCACATGGTGGCTAGCCACCATTTGTAATTCCCATTCCAGGGGATCTGA